TGCGTGGGCTGCGATGGGATCTCATCGTCTTCTTGGTACAGGGGGTCCTGCTGCACATCTTGAGCCGCGTCTGCGAAAGCCTGGGCATCATTACCAGAGGCTCTGTCTTTCCCGAAGATTACCTCACAATGATCGAAGTGGGAGAAAGTCTTGTTCCTCAGTCCCTTCGCATGAGGATCAACCTATTGGTCATGTGTTTAGGAGCACAAAATGCAATGAGGAAATGTAAATTATGTGAAATATATAGACGACTCAAGAGTTGGTTTTTTAGCTAAAAGCAAACCTTCAGCCAAGCAGCCCACTTCTCATCGTCACATGAGAAGCTTTTTGTAATATCATTCCATCCCATACCCGAGTTATTTAATTTTATATTGGCCAGGCTTGCATAAGTTTTCTTCCAGACATGCATTTTGGATGTTATATGCGGGTCAGCACGAATTTCACATTCAGGAAGATATGTCTTCATCTTTTTTTCCAACTGAAATGCGTATCCTGTTCTGAAGCCGTTTTTGGTTTTCCAACCCTCGACTACAATATCCTTCAGAGCATTAACCAAGGCATCCTCTTCGCCCGATGTCCAAATACGGCGTCTTGAGGTGGACCCAGCCTCTTTCCCGGTATCCGCTGTGAATGATGGTTCCATGACAAATTTCCTGTAGCGATAATAATTTTGTAGCATCTTTTTTTATTATTTTGGGTAATATAGATTTTCCAAATAACATTTTATAAAAAAATTCGTCAATAAAAATGATATACTATATATTTGGAAACTTGTACCTAGTCAACATAACAACATATTCAATAACATTGATATTGTATAATAAAAATCCCATCCATATAATATAAGATAAGGACATTTGTCACCATTACTTAGTTTCAGAAGAATGTTAAGAAAGTCCACATTGTGTACACAAAAAAATATGTTTGTTTATCCATTAGGGAACACCGCCCTGCCATTCTGTGAACATTTGTTGGGCTAAGAGATCGCGTTTCTGGGTCCATTCGTGGCTGCTATCAACTTGATCTATGTAGTTGTCGTCAGACGTTGGGTTGGAAGGTGCCGGGAATTCGGGAATATCATTCTCTAAGGGGTCTTCGGGCATTGTTCTACGTATAAAATTGTGAATAAGCGCGCACGCCATGATAATGCGACTTTGGGTCCGAATGGGGTAAAATGAGTTACTCCTAAGAATTGCCCATCGCATTTTGAGAATGCCAAAAGCACGTTCAATCGCGTTTCTAGCCTTGGCGTGCCGAAGGTTGTATAGTTCTTTAAAGTATTGTGGAGCACGGGAACCTGTACCCCATTCGTCTAAGTGATATCTGACACCCCTATATGGCGCTAGAAATCCAGGACCATTAGTGTAACCACCATCCACCAAATAATAGTTTCCTGCGTTATAAACGATTGTGTTATGTTTGATTTAGTGTTTTACTGGTGGGTGCTGTTTAGACATTTTATAAAAATAGGGGGAATACCGTTTGGGACTCGGAGACAATTTGGCCTAGTGATTGCATCTCTCAGTACTCGATTATCGGCAGCAGACCCCTCCCAGCCACACAGCATGTAAACGAAGTTCATATTTCTATCTCACACCCCAAGTACATTAACTGCTACTTGACCCTTTCGATTTCTATATCTTCCCCTATCTTTTGATGGGACTCGAACGTTAATGTATGTACCATCTAGTGCTCCTAGACACCCCTATTAAAAAAAAATTGTATTAGTTTCGAAGAAGTAGCTGTTGAAAATTGACTAAGCGTTGTTAAGGGTCTTAATTTGTAGGCTACCTTGAACCATTTCCACCGTTCATCTGAACAATCATCCTCAACTGGGGTAGGTGAGGCAGCTAGAACGGTGTAAAGGCGGATTACCGTATCAAGTACACGGTTAAAGTACTTGCTTACAGTTCATCCTGATCTCGTAAAATCAAACTTTAAGGTGACGTTCTTCTTGTGATGTGCGAGGATTGAAAGAAACATAGCAACTTGTTCACTAGGTGCAACGTTTCTAGATTGAACAAGACCCCCTAAATTTTCAAGGAGGAAACAAAGGCGACCAAAACAGTCTCTGTCCATACGGAGGTTCTCAAGGCAAGTGTTGTCGCTGACGTCGACTAGCCTTTGCATGTGACTCACTTGAAGGGGCACTCTATCCCTCAATCGGTACGTTCGTCCGCTAATCAACGAACGTCGACGGCGGCGAGGGAGTATGAATTTGTGGTAGTAGTAATTAGCTACTATGAAAAAAAATCGAGTACCAAGAACAATCGCTTCCAAAAGAGTGAGGATTAGTAATTTGTCTCGCACGTTATCCATCTACAAAGATTGAAAAACATACGGACTTCACGCATTCATTGATCTTAGTGTTGGCCTCTACGAACATTGTGAAAATACTAAACACATCTCAAATGGTGTTATCACGAGCATGTGAAATATATTTATTTTTGTTAAAGTTGGTTCACATGTTTTCAATGTGTTTGTCTGCTCTGTGTAAGTAGTTATGGAGAAAGGAAGTGTTCTATTATATTCACATTAAAGTTTGGTTTATTATGTTCTGTGCAAGGATGCACTGACATGTATCTTAGACCCACATAAATGTTGTGCTCCAATATCACAAATTCAACAGATTCAAATAGATATATTCAAGTCATATGACAACTTGAATAGATCCAAATACATATTCAACTGCCACACAATGGCAGCATCAACTAATTTAGGCTCCACAATATGACAAATTGAACAGATTCAAATAGATATTCAAGGCATATGACAAAATTTATCACATTCAAATACTTAATGAATTGCCACACAATTCTGAGCATGAACAAATTTAGGATCTAATAAACTAACTTCTGAACACATCCTCAACATCAAACCTGTTAGTTGAGCACAAAAACATAGAAATAACTCTAGCTTCAAACAAAACAATGCATAATACCCCACAAAACAAGCTCCTGTTGTAAATTTTATAAAATATTGGGCCTTTGAAAAAGGTTTATAGACCTCTGAAATGGATCATAAAGGTAACAAAAAAACAGCAATTAACATGGCTTGGAACAGCAATTTTTTCACTTATGACTGCATTTGAATACATCAAAAACACATGTTTTCAGCACACAAATCACATATAATAGCTGCCTCCAAAAGGCTCTGTAATCACATATAATAGCAGCACACTGCAACCTAAGTAGTTGAACCTAAGTATACACATATAATAGCTGCATACTGCAACCTAAGTATACACACCTAAATATAGCTGATTAAATAACACACTTTCAGCCTCACAAAGAAAAAGGTTGAACACATTTTCAGCCTAACACAAAGAAAAAAATATCTTTCATTATACCCCTATTAATAAAGCCATAGTTTTAATGATTGATGGCTCATCAATTTCCATATTGGACTGATATAATAGCATAGTTGGGCATATATATAAGTAGACATACCTCATAGTAAAACTACATGTTGCAAATAATAGAGACATAGAAATATACTACTAGCAGCTATCACATTGCCATATTATTGGACTGATAGCACCCTTCTTTTAAATTTTCATTTTTGAAAACAGAAATAAGATGACATTGCACAGGACTATATTTATATAACCGCAAATTATTGGTTGCATAATCTCTTCCTAGAAGGTTTATCTTAATTTGGGAGAAAATTCCAATGATAAATGTACTCATGATGTCTGGTCATGCCTGGACATATGAAAACACATGTTTTCAGCACTTAAAAACACATGTTATGGCACACAAATCACATGTTTTCAGCACACAAATGTTTTCAGCACATGTTTATCTTAATTTGGGAGATAAAAACACATGTTTTCAGCACAAAAATCAAAAGGCTCTGGCACCTAAATATACACATAAATAACACACTTTCATCCTCACAAAGCAAAAGGTTGAACACATATTTCAGCCTAACAAAATATTTCAGCATAACAAATAACACACTTGAACATGCTTCTTAAGCTAGAAAAACACAACACATTTTCAGCCTATCAAACCTTTCAGCCTAACAAATAACACACTTAAATGTTGGTGTTCAACCTAACACATCTTGTAGCCTAACAAATAACGCAAGTTAAAGGATGCTTCAAATCTGAAGCTATCTGACCCAGTAACTCAGAATTTTAAGCACAATAAGCACATTTGCATAGAATACAATACTTTGCAAAATATCTACAGGTTCCATTTCAGAGGCATATTGAAACGATCTTTGTGAATTCAACTGCAGTTCATGATGTTGGTGCTCGTATGAGTAATAAACACAACTTAAACAAAGGAAGTACATACCACAGCCTAACATATTCAAGCAAATGCAGCAACTCAACTCATATGACAAGTTCAAAAGACAACTCACAAGTGCATATGACACATTCAAACAAAATAAAGGTTAGAACTTAATTCATATAACAGTTTCAACTCTATTTAAAAGGAAAGCAGTGGGAGCGAAATTGAAACTGAGACCCAATAACTATTAAAATTTAGCACATTTGCAGCACCTTAACACAGTCAACAGGTCTCAACCGGTTCACAACAAATTGAAACTGAAACAACAAAACATGCTTTTCTTTTTTTTTTTCTTGAGAACTGAAATTTAAGCCAATAGACTCATCATTCTGTACTGNTCCCTTGTTAATCTTATCAATATAATATTTGAAATAAAAACCATTCATCATTGCTAATTTCTGCATGTGATTCACAATTCATCCACTTGACATATCCCGACTACCGCTCACTATATTTTACTACTTCCATATTACACGGCCAACTTTAATAGTTACCTTTTCATCTTATATCTACTCACATTCTAAAAAAAATCGTTCCACCCATCAAATTTTTTTTCATCACTATGCAGCGAAAACAAAAATATCAAAATGAAAAAACACACATACTCATTTGAGAAGTTAGAAGCAAACAACTGATTCTACAATCATACGACTCCATATCAATGATCGAGCAAAATACCATACTAAGGACAAAAGACCGATTTATTCTGGATGAGGAATAAAAAATTGAAGAGAGCACGATTAGTCGATTACCTCCAACTTTTGTTGGCTACATTTCGACCCAACAGACTTGTAAACCTGCATAGTTTTTCCCAATACAAAATCTTCATCAGACACAAAAAATGAGTCCGGCATTAGAACAGCAATATCTGAAGTTCTGAACCCACACGCATAACAATATCCGAAAAAAAACAATAAAAAGATTGAACCTTTGTGGAAGATTGAGTGGTTAAAACAGCAGTACAGCCATCACCCACAGTAACTTCAAAAGCTATGGAGTCCCCCTGCGATTTTTCTCACACGCTTATTAATGCCTAAAATTTACTGCAGTTACAGCTCCAAGAAGAAGTTAATCAAATGCAAGTGAAAGGAGTAAAAACATACAGAGACGATGCCTCCGCCATAGGTGATGGTGTAAATCCACACTGCGTCGGTAATTTGGGAAGGGCCCACCTGGAAATTAACACGAAAAAAGGGATTTGAGCTGTGAAATACAGGAAAAAATGGAGCAAGAGTGATAATGAAGAGGGAAGGGAAGGTTGATGACCTTGTTAGGGCTAATGAATTTCAATGGGTATTTAGAGAAGCAGCGGGTTAGGGTTGACTTCCCGAAGACCTTCTCCACGACCAATTTTCCGACCTCCATTTGTGCCTCCAAGAGGAATTTGCGCTCTCTCTCTCCCTCTCTCTCTCTCTCTCTTTCTTTTTCCCCCTTTTTTTTCGCTCCAAAATTCTATATCGTAAACACTAAACAGTAGAGCCTTCACGGCTTCAACATTAGTATCGGTCATTTTTTTATTTTTTTATTTTTTTATTTTTTTTTCAAAACGACATGAATAATATAACTCACGGGAAATTACAAACTTACGAGGGCCAACTGACCCTATACAATACAAATGAGGAAGGATAACTTCCTAAATGAAAGGGAATGATTGCATCCGTAAACGGCAGAGAGAGCTGCTCTGGGACCGTTTACCGGATACAAACAATACTACAAAAGATAAAATCAAGCTAGAAAGCAATATGACCAAACCAACAGCAAAATTAACAAACCACTGCCCCCACGGCCTAGTTTGTTAACAAAACCTAAGGAAACAAAAATAAACAGAACAAAGAAGAAGACATATGATCCCCTAAAAACATACTATGTACAACTAAGGTTAAATACTATTGAACTCAAGCCACTTTTAATTAACAAAGAAGAAGACCATGTCCACTTTTAATTGCATTGAGATGCATTTTCTTATAGACTAGATCTATTTCCTATGTGGCATATGATATTTTATTAAGAGACCCAATGCATTGTGGGTGCTCTTAGACATATTAATATCAATCCACCTATTAAGACCAGCTGCAGCAAGAGAAAAACATAAAAAGGCCACTGAACTCCCAAGAGACATAGCCACTTGTAAGAACCAATCATCTCCTCCTTTGTGCATTGATCTCTGCAAACTCCCTCCATTCACTCCAGGCTGCCTTCACAACTTCATGTTCATGAATCATGGTATTCTCAAATATGAAGAGATTTCTAGACTTCCAAAGGCACCAGAGGATGTAGGTGGACAACTGGATCATCTCCTCTGAGATTTACTTTTTATCCACTGAGCCGACACTCCACCACCAGCACATGAAGTTAGCCCTTTGATCCTTCAGACCATCCCAGCAAACCATTGAGGAGAACATGCTCAATTGTTTCTTCTGCATCTCCACACATATGACAAACTGAATCTACTAGCAAACCCTTCTTCTTAGGCCAGAACTCACAGGCAGCACACCAGTGTAGCATTTCCAGAGGAAGTGCTTCAATTTACCTTTAATTCTTAGCTACTCTCAGCTAAGTCCAGGTCCCTCAGTTTGTTCTGTATTAAGTAGGAGTAGGTGGGAGCCACTGAGCAAGAACCTTTGTTGTCATAGGACCAACTCCATTTGTCATTCAAAGCAGGGTTGAAAGATGTTATACTCTTTATGTGGTCACATCTGCTTCAGTAAACAATACAAGTAACTGATCTTCATTCCAGCTTCTCCCATCATCTTCCAGTAGTTCACAAACCCAGATTAAGTTATTGGTCTCCTCAGTTCTTAGTGAGGGAAATCTTGAAGAAAAAATTGGAATCCAAGGATCATGCCAAATCCTTGTGGATCTTCCATTTCTTACAGTCACCATGAATCCAACTCTGTTTCTGTCTAGAACCCTCATCTAATTCCTCCACGTCTAAGAAGCATTGTAAGATGGCTTAGCCTGAAGAATAGCGCCTGAAGGAAAATGGTTTTTTTTTTTGCTATTCGATCTTGACATTTCCATTTCATATTTTTTTTTTCTTGTTTGTTTTTTTTATTTAAAAAAAAAATGAAAAATACAGTGATATTAAACTCAAATAAACTATAATTGGTAACCAGTTAGTTATAATATGATCTTTCTGAAAAAAATACTAAATAAGGGAGAAAAAAATACTCCACAAAAAGAGATTAAACTACTCTACGTACGAAGACTAACAACAAAATAAAAAGGATAAAAAAAATAGAAACAAAAACAAAATAAGACCTCCCCTACTTCAATCAGCCTCGACATCATGTCTTCTCAGATTCCCAGTGACCCGACAATTGCCTACAAATGAACACCGCCATCCTACGCACCTAGAAGCCTTCATGCCTAAATACATACCTCGATTTGCAGATTCAGCTTAAAAATAAACCTCGATATGTAGATTCAACACTCACAAACCTAAGAACTTCACTTCTTCAAAGGAACGGTTAAACATATCTGATGAGGAGTCGAAACTCAAAGTCCAGATCTTTCAATGAGAGAGAATCTATGATAGAAGGATAAAGATCGACATCCAAAAAACACGTCGATCTCCGTCGGACGCCTGGGATGTAAAATTAAGAAATCAAAGATAATTTTTCAAAAATTTTTGGGAATATTCTCTGCAATTTTCTTTCATCACAAAATAGTTACAATGAGGACGAAGCATGATGCTTCAAAATGAAACCATTTTTTTTTACATATTTCTGACAACATGGCAATCAATATCCAAGTGTTTAGTTCTTTCACGGAAAACCAGATTGACAAAAATGTGAAGAGCAGTCTTAATATCACACCATAGAGAAATAGGTGTAGAAATTGGAATGTCAAGATCCTGAGCAAGTCCAGAAAACCAATGAAGCTCACATGCTGTGGAAGCCATAGATCTCACTGTAATAAAAATCGACCTAGGTGCCGCTCGGCCGACTTCGATTTGCATGAATCGACTGAAAAAATCGGCCAGGCAGTGCCTAGGCGGACTTGGCGACCAGGCAGCTGGGCTTGCCTACGCGCTCCTAGGCAAGCTCGGGATGAATTTTTAGTTTTTTATTTATATTTTTTTAGATGCTAATTAAATTATCTTGTTATCATGTTTTCTTTATAATATATTAATGTTATTATTTGGACTTAGGTGTGTGGATTTATTATAAGTTGATATAGTTTTATTTTGTACGCAGTGAGAATAAATAAAAAATAAGGTATTTAATCTTAATTTCTAGGTACAGTTTAAGCCCTATCTAACGGCTCTAGAAGCTGGTTGAGCTCCTAGTAGACGTCTAGCGACATATAGAACACTGATAGATCTATACTCGGCTTCAGCTAAAGATCTTGAAAATGTATTTTGTTTTTATGTTTTCTAAGAAATGAGAGCATCTACTAGAGAAAATACAATATCGACTAAGAGATTTTTTGGTAATCATACAAGTACCCCCCAGTCTACATCACAATAAGCTTCAAGGCTATGAGAAATAGTTGCAGGAAAGAAAAGACCCAAATAACTTGTCCCCTTCAAGTATTTGAATAGATGCGCTACAGCTGTCCAGTGAGAATGAGTTGAGCTTGTTCAAATTGATTGAGTTGTTGTATTGCATAAGAGATATCAGGTCTTGACAGGTTAAGATACAACAACCTCCCCACGAGCCTTCTATAGCTCCAACTCGTTTTTTCACCTCAAGACTCATTTTGTTTACAGTTTTTCCACCCAAGAACATAATCTTTCATCTTGATTTTCATCCTGGTTGCATTCTTGTTCTCGAATTAAGCTTGTATTTCAGATTCGACATTTAGTTCCGTTTTAATAGTTATTGTTTTCATTTAGTTGATGGATATGATTGTTTGGTTGAGATGATTAATTGTGTTGAATTTAATATGCATAGCTAAATCTTATTGCTAAGAATAGGGATAATTGTTCTTGCTCGTTTGTATTTATCTGCCTTTGAGTTGTTCATTCTCGTGCGGGATGATCTGAAAAGGATTGATGAATTCATGCTTAGAAGTTGAATATAACTGAAGAGTGACACTTCAATCTTGCAATTGGTGCCAATTGTATATTGTTCTTTCAAATAGGGGTTTTTGATTTTAAACGATTAGTCGATTAATCATCTTCTAGTTTAATAAGAAACTTTTAAAACTGAAAGGGGAAAAGTTGTAGACCTAGGATTGCATAGACGATTTCGTATAAAATAGTCTATAAGTTTTAGGATTGAAATACATGCTCGTCTGCATCCGTACCCCTTGTTATGAGAATTATTGGGATCAGACCTTAGGCTCGTGTGTATGCTTGAACTTACTCATTTATGTTCAATCTCTTGTTACGAGATGTTATTGGGAGCGAACCGCTAGATGTTTAAGCGAGAGCGTCAATCTTGGACCGAACAATTAATTTTCAGTTTTGCGTTTAGAACCAGAATAAATTATCCCCAACTCCCTAGCCTCTTTACCATTGTTGATTCTTGTTTTTGAGTTGAATTATGAATTTACGTTGTCTGAGATTCTTAGATAATAAATCAAACTAAATCTTCTGAATTAGAGTGTTCAAGAATTTGTTTTCTCTTTTGTGGTTGAATACACACGCAAGATATCCCGGCTAATCTTCTTTGAGAAATCAACCCGGGTAACAGATCCTTTGATTCGGTACTCGGTAAAAAGTATAATTTGCCACAACTGTAGCGCCCTGTTCCTTTATTAGAATTTATGGGTTTTATATAATTATTTATTTGTTCGTCTCGCTTTTATTTTAGTCGTAGTGCTTGATAATTTTTTTCCTTTTAATCTTATTAGAATTAAATAGATGTCCTCGTCTATTTAATTTTTTTAATTAACTCACCTAATCAAAAATCGAGATTTAAGAGGATGTCCTCGTCTTCTTAATTCATATTTTTGTGCTCTCGCTTATTTAGATTGTTCCTAAGTGCTTAAATTGTTATTGTTTCGCCTAACTGTACTAATTGTTTATTTATTTTATTTTCGTTAAGTGGATTTTGTGCCTAAGTCTTTAAATTTTGCGTAAGTGTACTAAGTACATTTGAATCCGGCCCAACTCAAGGATTCCTATCAAACTTTTCTTGGCCCAGTTTTAACAGCACAAAATCGGCCCAAGTCACCATAAGAAATGGCCCAAGCATCTCCCCATGTCGGCCCATTTCTTCACCTTCTTCAATCAGACGCCACCACCAGTGAAAGAAACCTAGGCTAACCGATTTCCACATTCTCGGCTTCCATCGACCTCAGAGCATCTCCAATAGCATTTGGATTGCCTCATTTCGTTGCCACATGGCACAAGAAAACTTATGTGGCCTAAAAAATTTCTAGAAGCCTTTCTAGATGTAGAAGTACTTCTAGAAAACTTCTATTACATATTATATTATTTATTCAATTT